TATAACATAAAGATATTCAAGTTTTTCCTATTCAGAAGATCTGCTGTTTTGGCCTGGAAGGCATTCCATTGAACTCTTTTATGTGTCTCCACGTGTTTGTCTATTGCGGTGCCTACTTTTCTTTGATTTTCTGATTCTAGATTGACTAGAAGCTAATATATTGATATATTTCATAAATTTCATTGTGCTTTTCATCAGTCACAACTTACAGATTTTCGATCATATGAAGGACAAGATATGTTTGTTGGAGAGAAGATTGTTCCTATCAAGGTTTGCCTTTGATGATATTAGTTGCAGTTTGCTTGCCAATTGATTGGCTCACTGTCTTTGTATCATCCTATTTTCGCAGCTTGATCTTCGGGTGAATCATACTCTTATCAAGGATCAATTTTTGTGGGTAAGAGCATGTAATGAATTTGTATTTGGTATTATCTTGTACGAGTTGTGTTCAAATGTAAACTTTGATGCAACTCAAACTTTCAGGACTTGAACAACTTCGAGAGTGATCCCGAAGATTTTGCTAGAACATTCTGTAAAGATTTGGCAATTGAAGACCCTGAAGTTGGGGTAAGCCTAATCAAGTATATCATTTGTTAGGGGAGATTTTCTAAAATTACTATTCATGAAACTTATTTGTTAGGGGAGATTAAAGTAAGAATTTGCTCTTTCTTGCTAAAATTAAGGAAGCAAGATGTAAAAACTAAAAGGCAATTGTTTCTATTTTTCTCTCTAAAGAACTGTTTTGTCCCTTCAGTTTTGACTTGTTTCAGACAAAATTTTCTAGTCTTACAGCAATTTATTATCTTAAAGTTTCACTAAATTTTACTCTAAAAAAATCTTGATGTTTCATTAATAGACAAAAGAAATAAGTATGCGTGCTACTCTAATGAGAAATTGCCAAGACCAGGAGAAATGTGTGGCTGGTTAGGTGAAATAAATGGCTGATCAGGTGAAATATATAGTTGACCAGGTGAATTGTATGGCTGAGGTGTCATTGATAGATTATTTGTCTCTTCTATTCTTACATTACAGCAGGAGAAAATAAATAGGGCAGAGTGGGAAGTGATTAAGAAGAGAAAAAATTTAATAAAAAGTTACAGCTTTTCTTTCTACAATAATCCCTCCTTCCTCTTCTGTATTTTCAATCTTTCTTCTCCCTAGTTCTGCTTTCATCTTCTCCTAAAATCTTTTCTGACTCTGCTGTAACTATTCTTCTTCCTTAATTTCCTTAAGGCTAGGTACTTGACAGAAATATAAAAATGTCACGACTTTACTATTTTTTGTTGAAGATTTTTTTTTTTAATAAATTTTTACAATCGCCAACAAGTGGATATTGTAGAGACTTCAATCTTCTATTAGAATTAAGTTGACTTACTGACAAAGATTGCAATTTAGATTGGAGCATAAATGATGAAAGTT